GTCCTCGCGAAACTAATAAGGCTGAGTAAAATGGGTATGCGAAGATTGTTTTAGAGCGACTTGTAAAGCGTTACTCTATTGATACAAAAATAAGTACTTACCAGAAAAGAGAAAGTTTTTGCTGGGTTTTTACAACTGCCTACAAATGCTGGCGTATGCCGACGACATCGACATCGGTAAAAAAAGGACTACGTCTGTTCTGCCTTCTCGGAATTAGGTAGAGAAGCAAAGCAACTGGGCCCGGTGGTTGAACGACGACAATTAACTTGTGTCATCACAAAAATAGTCAGAACATAAGCATCTTGGCACTCACGTCACGTTTTAAAAGGTAAACGACTTCGTTTATTTGGGAACCACTATTAACACCAATAATAATGTCATCCTTGAAATGCAACGGATAATCACTCTTGCTAATAAGTGCTACTAAGTTAAAAAGTTAAGTCCTCTCTCATCGTAAAAAATCACAGATCTGGTGAAGCGGCTCTTGAAGTTTTCGAGAAAAAGACGCTGCGTTGGCGATGGCTAACACCGCATACGATTTAACGATGAGCCAAGGGTGTAGCCAGGTAGGGGCAGGGGGGCAAATTCCAAAATTAATAAACAAAAAATACAAAATTGTATGCGTAATCGAATTCGTAATTAATTTTTTTTATGTAAAATAACGGTTAAAATGGTTTTAGGGGAGGGATAATTGTATATTTTAAATACGTTTCGGTGGAGAAATCATTTAAAACCATTTTAATTATTATTTTACATACAAAAATTTTAACTTTAAGATTTTACGACGGTTAACACGTCTGGCGAATCCCCAATTTTGTACGGAAGTTAATGCGTAACACTGTTAGCAAAAAAAAAAAAATTGCCAAAAAGCAAACCGATTTGTTAGCAGCTTCAAACTTGCACTTTATTATACTAAAATATAATGGACTATAAAACTACATAACAAAAGTTATTCTAAAAATTATGTTTATACATATTGAAAATTTTGATGCTTTCTTGTATTTTTCGCATGTTCATACATATTTATGTAGTCTGAAATCTATTACCTTGTTTATGCCGACACATAAAGCGCTTTTATCCACTTCTTTGTGGTTCAAAACGGATGCATAAACCAAATTTCAAAAGTTTATTGACTCGAATTTGATTTCAAATCGGTTTTTTATTTCTTACATCAGTTAGAAAACAGATATAAACACAGCACTGGTTTTCCTTCTACAGCCCGTTTTTAATTTGAATTGGTATTAAAATAAATTTGAATTGTTGTTCGCTTCCATTTCGGTCAATCACTCAAATCAATTATTAAAGAAATATCGAAATAAAACAACAAATTTTGTATTCTTATGAATACGGTTTCAGCGAGTGCGCTGTAAAGGCATAGGTATAAACGCTTGAAAGAAATATGTGTTGAGTCACATTTGTTTTTTGAAAATACGGTTCTTGCGTAGGTATAAACAAGGTATACATACATTAATATGGCCTTTTTTATACTCTTATAAAAAATTAATGAACTTTAAACAACGAAAAACGAACGAAAAAATAATCAAACTGGACAAAATGTCTTATTTATAATATTTTGGGCATAGGTGTACATGTGAAAGTGTTTCTGTATGTACATAAATACTTACGTACAAAAATAAATACGGCAGTTAAAAAATTCTCTCTAGGAACCAATTAACCATGTAAGAATATTTGTATTCAAAGACTTGAAAAAAATAAAGAAATAAATACAGTACTAACGTATGATGGTTTATTTTTTAGGAGACTATCGAAGACTATCCATAGCTTTTTAAAACTGTCAAATACTATCGATGGTGCCACTATCACGCGAATTACGCTTCCAAGTTTTGAATCATGTCTGGATGTGCGATGACGACTTTTGGCTTCACATAACCCCAGAGAAAAAAAAAAGTTAAAGTTTGGGCGGAGCCGAACATTAAACACCCGGCGCAAGTATTAAATATAGTTTTTCACCTTTCCGAAAACTACCGCTACATGGTAAGCAGGGGTGGTTTTACCCCTATTTCAAACATCTTCGAAAGGACGTTCATTTAGAAGGTATCACGCCCATTTCCCAAAATTCCATAACAGTATTACTTCTTTTTAAGGGTGTCTTGTTAGTATAAATTTTGAGTAAATTAGAGTCCTTAAATTTCGAATTATCGAAGTTTCAAGCATTTCTAAAATTTACCGTTATATAAAAAGTGGGCGTAATCTTAGTCCGGTTTCAATAATTTTCAGCGCTTGATGTTACGTGGCAAGCACAATAATTATGCCGAGTTTGCTACAAATAAATAAAATAAACTCCTTATATCGACCAGTTTTGTCTATATTTCTTTTGTTTATTTAATGTTTAAAATTTTGTAATAAATATCTACCACATTATATGTCCATATAACACCGTGCAATTGTCAATTTTGCACACAAAAATCAATCTATGTATTCGCGAATTCATGGGCCAAATATAGTAAGGATGCGATTTGAGTTTTTTCTCTCTAACGTCGGGATTTTTTAAACAACTTCAAAGATATGATTACTTCCAAAAATTATTTTAAAAATCCAATGCAGTGTAGAATAAGAATATGTATACGAAATGAAAGGGGAAATTTCTTTAGAATTAAAATAGAAAGGTAGAAGGACGAAATTCGAGGATGTTATCGAGTTTATATAAATCCTTAACATATAATTTTTTCATAAACAAATAATTCAAAATTTCAAGGATATTCAAGTATAAAGTTTTAAAAGGACATTTACAATACTCACCAATCCTCATGCACCAAAAAATTGAACCTGTTCAAATTATACGGAATTTTCTATTTAATTTGATATCCATGTTTTTTCTCTAAGCAGATTTCACTGAATTTTTTAAATCATGTTTGAATTACTGACGTCTATATGTATGTATAATGAGCTAAACATTTATAAAAAAGTATTATTTATTAAATGAAAAAGAAATATAGCCATCACTGGTCAACAAAAGGAGTTTCTGTTATTGCCACCAGAGCAAATTACAAATCCCGAAAATCACAGGATTCTTGGCAAATAAGCAAAGCCGGGATTCCGGGATCCCGGGATTAACATTCGTAGTGTATCCCCGTTTCTGCCCAAATTAATATGTAGGTATATTTTGGCTAAATAGGAGACAAATCAATGTTAAAAACAGCTTTTGAGTTTAAAACAGGGATGGTAATCATTATAAGTTAAAAAATATTAATCAACATTTAATTATTATTTTCTGATTTTTATTTTTTTTTAAGAATAAATAATATTATTTATTAATTTTTACCTTTTTACTCGAAAGTAATTATTAGGGATGTGCCGGGTATCCGGTAGATATCCGGAATCCGGCCTTTTTTCTGTTATCCTACTATCTGGCCGGATACTGGCTTAAATCCGGCCGGATTTCCGGATTTCAATTATAGGAGATTCAATTTAAAAAGCTTGTTCAGAATTTTTTCTTTTAAATTTTTATAATCAAATTCGTTAGTACCTAATTAGTGATTAAGAGTTAAATATTTATATGTTTTTCATTATGAAAAGAAGCATTTCCGCAACCGGTCAAGAAAGAACCTATTTCTATTTTCAACATAAATGCTACTGGTGGTTCGCAGAGATACTACATGGGCAAAGTAAACAAATTTGGAAATTCTTTGCGACTAGGGTTCAATCGATACCACTAAGGTATCACTCTAATAAGTACTTCTACCCCAAAGTCTGAAAGTATCGATACCCACTCAGTATCGGCAAAGTATCGAGTACTTACTTGAATTGTTTTCATCTTGTCTTTTGAGAGATACTTCCCTTTTTTCGTTGAAAAGGTCGTATGATTACGTCTTATCATGATTTAAAAAATTGTATGTCAAAATCAAATAAAAAGCTAAAAAAGTTGCAGGTATAGAAAACGTTTATATTTAAGTTATTTAGTAAGAATACATAATTAGTTATTAATATTTGTGGCACATTACCAAGGAACAGTATTGGTTATAATTTTATCAGTTATATGAGTGTATAGATCACCCAATATGGATAAGTTTCGGATTTTTAATTTTGTTTTTACCAACTACCCAGTTTTTAGATTTATTGATGTCAGAGACGAAAGCGAGTTTGGAAACGTTTATCACAAAATATTGCAACAATGAAGCATTAGGCACCCCGCACATATGCGCCTAATCTTAGTGGAGTAATCGTTTCGACATGCCGAATGCCTAACGACTCGACTTCTGCATGCTACCGCACCCTGCATAAACCCTTGTCATTAATTTTTAATTATTTTCTGTTGAAATGACAAATAATTTTTATTTACAACACAAAAAAGTAAACAAATGGCGATTTAAAAATAGAAGGCGTTTTACAATGTTGGGCGCTTCGATTCATAAATTTTTTATGATTAGGCGAAAACATGATTATGAATTGTAATGTACAGATCATCATTCAAATACATGTGTTGTGTAAAATTTGTATCAGACATACATACATACTTCCCAGCCACTTTACAATAGGGCTGCCATAATCTGCTTCCCTGCATGCCTCCTAGAAAGGTTTTTCCTATTTACACTTTACGCGAATGTACTTAAATAAATGTTTTTATTACTTAGCATTACAAATAGGCATTTAAAGTCTAAATAAAACTTTTTGATATGAACCATAAATAAATCCCTTAAAGAAGTATGATTTTTATGAATTAAGAAAAAATTTTAAAAGAACTTCTTCAGAAGGCGTCCTACAAAAGCCCTTCTGAAAGCTCTTTTTTGAGTAGCGAAAGCAGAGGCCCTTCAATTTGTGCCACTCCATACACAAAATTAAGGAAAAAGGAAAGAAAGGCCTTTTTGATAAGAGTTTAGCTCCAGAAATTACCTGGGTAGTACTTATATATGACCCTTCAGCAGAAGGTACTTACCTATTTTCCCAGTGGATACCTAAAAAATTTTTAATTTAAATCTAAAAAATAATGATTATTTTCCATCCCTGGTTCAAAAAAGCAGGAATACACTTTCAGTGTCCAAATTAAGTAAATACGGAGCATGAATGTAGTATGCATATGTATATGCATGTATGTATATATGTATATATAGATATACGCCAATAACAAAATCTATTCAATCCATTTAATTTAAAAAGCACTATTTTCTTTCCTCTACTTGCACCCAAAAGTCTAGTGGCGATGTAGAGAGACCGTTTAAATTTTTTGATAAATCAGGCAATTTATCACTAGGAGCCAAAATAAAGTTGAAATTTTGGCACAGTGCTGTCACGATTAGGAACATAATATTTCGAGCAAAAGTTTCGCCGGCACAAAGACGCTTCCCTAATAAAAATAAAGATCATATAAGTTTTACTATTTAGTTAATATAAACGTATTTCATAATGACTAACCAGCACCAAACGGCATAGTAATATCCTTTTTCAAACATAGTTTCCCATTGTCATCCAAGAAACGCTCAGGTCTGAAATTTTCTGGATCACCCCATACGCGTGGATCCGAATGAAAAGCATAAAGTCCCGGTATCACAACTGTATCCTTGAATAATATATTCAAAAATATGTTTCATTTTGCAATTAAATATCTTAGTAATTCGAAAAACCTGAACAAATCACTACCTTTGGTATTTTAAATCCCATCAACTCAGTTTCCTCTAGTGCTCTGTGTGGGAAATCAGATGGCACCAAAGTTTCAATGCGCATACCCTCGCGCAGCGTAGCCTCAGTATAATGTAAATATTGCCGATCTTCCAACGTTGGTAGTCGTCCTCTTCCCACCACAGAATCTATTTCAGCTTGCACGCGTTTCAATACTTCTGGATAGTGCAAGAAATATTGTATGAGGAATCCCATTTGTGCACCGGTAGCTGAGAAGGTGGGGAAAGAAAAGTCTACCAAATCCATGATGAACTGCTCACGATTGTAGCAATCTGAGCGTCCTTCAGCATTTTCCAGTTTCATTTGTTTAATATACAAATCAACGAAATTTCGCTCAAATGATTCATCATAGGTACGCAGGTGGTAATCGACGATCTTCTCAAAATGATTGTACACGAAAACATTTGCTTCCATAAGCGCTTCGTAAGAGCTTGCCTTCGGAAAGACATGACGTATCCATGGCATAATACTCAACATTTTACCATAATCATCTGCTTTGCGTTGAAATTGCATACCCATCTTGACCAAATGCAACAACACTGCTTGCTCTGAGCGTGTGCGCCGCTCATTCAGAAGAATGTGAAAGAATGAATTGGCTACAAGGGGGCTTAGCACATTTGGTATATAAATTCTATAGCCGCCAGGCTTGGACAGCTCATGCTCGTGCGGATAGCGTGGTCCATTTCGTATAAGATCCAAAAGATCAGTGACTTGCTCTTGCATGACAAACTCCAGCTCAGAAAAACGGCGTCCGAACCCAAAATCACGAAGAAAACGTAAAATAAAACGACGTTGTTCTTTCCAGACGGGGCCATCTCGAAAGAAAATGCCTAAATTATGGAATAGAAACGTGTCAATTGTAATTGTATGTGTTTTTAATGCCCAATATTATATTTTGGTGGCTTTTGTTAGCAGGCAACGGTTTTCTGCTGAAAAGATGGAGTATATTAGATTAGGAATGTCCTCGATTTAGCTTTCCCTGATTCCGTATATACTCCTTTGATGTTGCCTTTATGCCGTTTTTAAGATGTTTGACTTTTTGCCTTTTATACCTTTAATTGTGAAAGGCAAGGAAAAAGATCTTATTCCTGATAATATGAAAGTTTCAAACGTTCTATATTTAAATTGTGCGCCACTTGTATCCACCCAGGTCGAGCGCACGTTTGGTATATTCAAGGCTTTTTTTCTTCGCGAAAATCTAATGAAAATGCTGCCAGAAAACTTTAAAGTGCATCTTGTGGTTCAATGTTACTACGACTATAGTGATTGAAGTTTTGTGAGTCAAAAAGCATTTCTAAAATAAATGAATTTTTAGATTATTTTTCGGTTTTTGTCCTTTTTGGTGCCTTATTTTGCATTTTTTGCGTATTCTAGTCTCTTTTCTTGTCTATCTTGAATTTTTTATAGGTTTTTAGGTCCGTTCCCTGCTTATTAGACTCACGTGGAGGCAGAGCTATGGAAAGAAAATTACGACGGCTGCAGCAAATTAATAGCAGAGCTCTGAATTTAAAATTATTCTAAAAAATATGCGCGATCCGCTAAAATTCTCAAATAAGTGGCAAATGAAAAGAAAACTAAAGGTGTGTATCGGAATCAGCGCACCGAAAATCCTGAAAAGATTGTGCTTATTTGTGATTCCTGTTTTCCAAATTTGCCTTAATGTTTTCACAAAATTTCAGTATTATCCAGGAGTTTATTATTTATTAATCTTTAAAAATTACAGATAGTCGTAACCTTACCAATATGTTGAGAACCAAAATACTCAAAGGCACAAAAACATGTTCATCTTTTCAATTACATAATATTTATAACTAAACGCCACAATCTTGCTCCTTTTTAGCTTTAATAAACTTACCAAAAAATTCATGACTTGGCGTTCGCATTGCACCGATATATAGCTTACAGCGTCCATCAAATTCCTTTCTATTCAAAACTTCTTTGACACCTTCGGCATTATGCACCGCCACTACTGGAAGGCTGCCAACATGAAAGCCCACTATATCCGATTTATACCATTTGCTAAATTTCAGTACTCCTTTATGTAAATATTTAGCATTCGCCAACATCATGAATAAATAACTGCCGAAAAGCGGTATGCGGGGAGGTCCTTTGATTCGAATACAAAACAGGAAACCAAAAATGCATTTAAATTACCATTGAATTGAAACTAAATAAATGTAAATTTTATTGCCAATTATTTATTTCACAAAACACACCCGGTGGAAATCCTTCCGGACGACCCACAGCATAACGATAGGAAAAATATAGGCAAATCACTGCAGAAATACACAACAAAATTTCTGTTAACATTTCAAATAATTGTAAAATTGGAGCACGTTGAACGATTAAGTGCTGATAACAGACTAAGTTACAATTAGTTGTATAAATGTGCTTTTGCTTGCCATGTGAGTGCGAAAGCGTAAATATTACAAATATTAATTTAAAACCGAATAAAAAATAATAACTATAATCTCTTTTTAATTGATTGCTGATTTAATCAAAGAAGTCAAGAATCTGTGCTGACTGATGTTACAACAATGCTATATGTGATTGACAGCAAAAATAATATAAAAGAGTATTTTTTTCTAATTGAAACCTAATTTATTGAACACTTAGAAAACGATCTATTTAATTGATTGACGTTACTTCGTTTTAACTATGATTAAAATAGATTTCCTTTATCATTTGTAATCGAGACGCCATTAAAAGCTTCTTGCTTGTTTCCATCAATGAAATCTTACTTGCGCTGTAACATGGCTGGTTCTTATGTACATACATACATATGCATGCATTTATCAACTTAGCCCATCCAGGTTGCTGTTGAGAACCTCGATGCTTTAATTTGCCATAAATTTTGCCAAAAGTTCCAAGGACTAAACAAAATTTTTACTTACAAATTTTAATGAGATTGGTGGCGAAAAAAATTGTACGCCGAAGTAGTAGATAAGTGCCATTTGGTTTATGGTTTATGGAATAACTCGAATTAATATGTTAGACCCAACCAGGGTAGGCAACTCGAAATTTCGTAAAACTCCATACCCATAGATATCTCCTTATGTACAATAAATTGTATGTATGTATTTTAATATTTTGCTGGTCTTTATGTTTATTTTATTTTTAAATGTAATTCATCTATGTATTCATAAACCAAATCAAACTTTTATAAAGTTAGTTAACAAATAAATAATAAAAAATGTATATATAATATTAAGATACATACAGTGGTCGAAAAACTTTAGCCGCACCAAATTTCGACAAATTTTCATGATTATTATTATTTTTTTTTGTTATTTAAATTGAGTTGTGTTTTATACAAATATAGTTCATTGTTTAACAACAACCGTATAATGCCAAGTTTCACATTATTTAAAAAAAAAAATTCTAGAAACGTTTGTAAAAATTAAAATTGAACGAGCTACAAAACTGCATTTTCAAAGTATCTCTAAAAAATCGAATTAAAAAGCTCGAACTTTTTACGAAAGATTGTTGTATTTGTTTTTTAAATATTGCACAAAGTTTGAAACTTAGATTTATGTGGTTTTTGTTAAAGGATGAAGTAATAAAATTCAATTCAAAAGTAACAAAAACTAAAATAAGGGGTACATATTTGCTTATGTAACAGCGTCTTAAATTCCCCACTAAAACGGTCCGATTCTCGACGCAAACTAAAATTCCCTGCAAATCGAGGAATTCCCCACGAGTTGGCTTCCCTGGGCCCATTCAGCGTGGTTGATAAAGTTAGGCACATATATTATGAGGCTTACATATATCAGATAGCTCTTGTAACGATGTGAACTCATATGCCCCTAGCATGGTATTCGTGTACCTCATTAAAGCTGGATACCTGCAAAGAAGGTGCTCTACGTTCGTCTTCGTTTCTGTAGCTTCTACAAAAGAACATGTTGGCGATACCCAGCCTTCTGGCATGTGTGCTGACCTCTCAATGCCAAGTATTTAAAAATTGTTATTATCCTCGCAACGTCAGGTCTGGGGTTTTTAATGAATTCTGTGTTCACTTTGAGGTTTACATATGCCACATGAGTTTGCATATAGGCAACTATGCATTCCATTTTAAAGCCATCGGTGTACAGATGATGTATCCAGGCGGAGTATATCATATCAGTCGACTTTCGATGGGAGAATGATCCCGAAAGTTCTGTGAAGTCCTATTCAGATCTTGTCGGAAGCCAATGTCATCGTAGGTGGCTATTGAGATTGTCCTGAGCCTTGTACATAGCAGATATTGATGCGGTCTGCATTATGGTTTACAGGAAATACGTTTGTAGTAGCATTGAGGGAAAGTTCTCATTTCCCAATGCATACGGCCCGCTGAACTCTGCCAAATTTTACGTTATTATGCTACTTCCGTGTGGCAGCTGTGAGTGAATAGTTAGAGGTGCGTAGTACTTCTACCGTTTAGTTAATCGTAGTTTTGGCCATTCAATTTTGATAAGAATTGATGGTTGTAAGCCATACAATTGGAGAGACAAATCCACCCTGAGTCGCAGCCCAACTAACTCCTCTTCAGACTGCATCTACCCAATTCAACTGCAATCGTTACACTGCGCACATTGCCACAACTCAGGAGTTTTGGAAAGCCTCTACGCGAACATTTTTAAAGGCTCCTTTTTTTGTAGCGGAAGGCTGCTACGGTGTACTGCTTAAATTCGGGTGAGCTTTAAAAACTGTTCTAACGACTTCATGAGGCGCCGTCTCGGTGGATCGTCCACGGCAATATGTATGCGGTGCACCAGGCATACAATCGCCGTGGAAAATCCGCCGGAAGTGAGCGTCAAGAACGCTCTCGAAAGTTTTCAGAGCAAAGGAAGTTAAGCTGATTGGGCGAACATCTTTATACTAGACGTGCCATCGCCTTCCAGGATTTAGGATGAAAACTACTTTCACTCGCCTCGTGTCAATAGAACATGGTTGAGGGCTATGCATACTCTGAGAATTGATAAAAGCTAGGGCATGACAACGTCTTCCACAGCTTGTAGCATGATCGGGAGAACACCGTTTGGTCCCGGTATTTCGTAAGACTATGTTCAATCAGGCACCTAATTTCAGCAATCTAATATCCCAGTTATTCATACTTGCACTGCTATACCATTTTTACTTAAAAATCAAAACCCGACAGAATTCTACATGGTAAGTGCTATGCGTTGGGTAACCGCTTACACGCAAAGCCCTTTTAACAGATTCTTATGTGACAACTCTCATGCAAAGCTAAGTATGCATAGCTGGGCTATAAGCCTTAATTGTTACCCAATTTATCATACAAATATTGAAATTAATAATGGCCAATTAATAATTATTTGGCAATTAATTTGTGTCAGATTCTCTATGCAACCCCTTTTGACTTGGAGGTATGTTTATTGAACAAATAGCAATCTGCTGTTTTTTTCTGGTCCCCTTTTACAGCTAATAATCCATCAGGGATGGGAAATTGAATTATAAAATTGGACCTAATTTACGGAAGACTTTACTCAAAACAAATTGTATTAGGACTTGGCTTTACTTGGCATTTCCAATTGGCATCAGTTGGCACAGAAAAGAAACGAATCGCGTGCTGTTCTGGAATCGCTTAGGCGATTACAGCGCGAATAGAGAAGGATAAGAAGAGAGAACCCGTACGAGTACTGTCGCTCACCCCGGTGGATGAATCTCTAGCCACAGTCCGCATTCTTCAATAAACCGCCTGTCCAAATCAAACAAATTTGGTATCATATGAAAGAGGACTGAAATAGCTTTTAAACAGAAATAGCGAAGGACCTCTATTTATATTTTTTTTTATAATTTAATACTAAAGAAATGAATATACCTGAAACAAGATTTGTTTTATGGTAATTAGTTAACATTTGTTATTGAAATATTTTTCAATATGTGGCTTTCTTCGTTTAGACACTTCAGTTTTAAAGCTATTTAAATCCTTTTTCATTTGATACCAAACTTGTTTAATTTGGATAAGCGGTTTGTTTATTATCCGGAAAGAACTTTTATTTCGGAATAATATTCGCAACAACCCTGATACATACCAACTATCCTTTGCTCTCTCCAGATAATTAAACACTATCTTTAGCATATACCTTCAGCTGATGAATTTGATGCTGTAGCTGAATATTTTTAGATCACGACACCAGGGTTGCCACTTTGGTAAATTGTTACCAAAATTGGTAGAAAAAATTGGAGTGGTAAAAAGGTAAATTTTTTCTCATTTTGGTAGGTTTTTGTTGAGCTTTTCGTTCCCGATTTATTTTACGTAGTTATCTTTATATTATAAATTTCTGTGCATACTTTTTATATACCTGCAAACAATTTTTTCAGAGTATTCTGCATTGTAAAGAAATTTTAAAGAATTCGTCAAAACTGAATTCGATTTTTTGCCGAATTTTCTAAACTGAAATAAATTACGCACACTTCCATTCTTTTACGAAATTTCGGAAGAAAATCTGTGAAGCAACGAAAATAATGGTGCTATGTGAAGAATATCTTTCAGAATTTTTCCAGAATTTTCATTATTTTTCGTACAGAAATTTCTTTCCGAGTTGGTGTCAACAACTTCATGTAATTTTCTTTGAAAATTCGTAAAAAATCGTTACAGGAATGAGATACTCCTAACGTTTTCCTTAAGATTTCGGGAACTTTGGTTTGCAGAGTACTTACATAAATATAAATGTATATGGATATAAGGCGAACATATCGCACTCCATTCAAAACTAATTTTACTGGAATCCCCAGGAGCTTTTGATTGCCTAAATATTTTAAATGATTATTTAAATACATATAAAGAATTTACTGGTATGTAATGACGCACTATGATTATTCGCAAAAAATTTAAATCAACGCCATTTTTTACCAATAGAAATTGTTAAATAAAAAACACAAAAGACTGGCGACAAAAAAATCAACGGGAAGCACATTTTGAGCTACTCTCAAATATTATTTGCTTTAAACTCGGTACCTTAAATTATTCTAAAAATTTAGAGTAAAAAATTCGAAATTTGGACGAAATTTTTTTGAATTTTTCTAAATGTTGTATGTATGTAGTTTGAATTCTTAATTTTTATGAATTTAGTTAAGGCAAGAAAAAATTTGTTCTTGAAAAAGATTGCGAATAATAAAAAAAAAATCACCAAGTGCCATTTTGAGTCACTGTATTTATCTATAATAACTCGAGTTGAAGTTTATCAAATTATGAAGTTTCGTTGTTGCCTTTAGTTTCATCATTTCCGCTTTCGGTTGAAGGAAACTGCGAATATGCCAATAATATGACTCAAATACCGGATAATTAGTTAAATAAAAAGTTTCTTAAAAACAATTTTAATTCTTATTGAAATAACTAAAAAAATAAAAACTATAGTTTTAATTAAAATAAATTAAAAAAATAACATAAAAATATAGTTTTTGTTAAAATAACTATAAGAAATTTATTGTTAGATATTTTCCAGATTTGGTAGATTTTTCTCAAGTGAATGGTAAATTTGTTTTTCGTCAGTGGTAGGGTTGCCAGGTTGCTCGACACTCAACAAACCCATGTTTTCGACGACTC